CAAGTTATACAAGTAAGAGGTTTAGCTAGCTATAAGACAAGGTTTAACGCACCATTTTCATCCGAAAATGCCTGTACCAAACCAGGAATGTCACAGTTGTTTTCTGTTCGTTTGGGTTGTTGATTTTGTCGAGCGTTTATTTGTTCAGGTTTTTATGGACTTCCCTTTTTTTAATTTCCCTTTAGGTTCGGTATTTTTTTTAAACTTTTTTTGAAACATAAAGACTGTTTAAAAGAGCTATACAACATTTGTTTCATAAAAAGAATGGCCAACGCAGTTAGAACTTATTTGTTTTGGGAAGGGGTGTCGTTGATGTTTTATATACATTAGTATGACAGTAGTTGACCGATGTTAAAGTATCGTAAATCGATTAGAAAAGGACAAATAAAGGTTGCAAAACAAAAACTATGGGAACCACATGAAATCCAAAGGAGATAGACATGGACAGGGTAAGATTCTCCTGCTATGGATCTATCTTCCGCCATTACACTCATGCACAGACAGACCTGAACAGGGTAAGCTTCTCCTGCTATGGATCAATCTGCCGCCATGCGAATTATCACACTCATTCAGAATTCCACAATTCGGAATAGAACACAATCAGTAAAATTACAGCTTGGACGACCATACCGGTTTCTTATGATATAAGACCGTGAAAGCATGTCGCTAGTGAAATGACACCGACACATCGTATTGGTCAACGAATTCGTGATGGTGACCGTATTAATCATGCAGTGCCGGTTGGATCCTACGTAGTTTTTCAACGGAATTATTAGGCTGTCTACACTGCGGTAACGAGTTCAAACCATACAAATGGCAAAAAGTTAAATAACAAAAATACCGAACTCCAAGTAAAATCCAAAACGGAAAGTCCCTTATCAAATGGCAAAATCAAAAGCTCAAACACATCAAACGAATGGAAAACAACTGTCATATTCCTGACTTGGTACAGGCATTTCCTTATGTAAAAAATGGTTGATTAAATCCGGATTTGTTTTCTCTTAATCGATTTATAACTTTTGAACAGCGGTATACTACTGTTGCCTTTATTAATATCCGAATGCTTTAGACTCCAATATTGATTGACTAGGATTGTCATTGTTCATGCCAAAGATCGGTGTTGCTTTCTGAGCACTCCAGTTTCCTCCAACAATAAAAACTGGCCCCCAGAAATAGCCCATAGTGCTGAATGTGGCGTTTAACACTAAAAATCAATCAACCAATCAATCCTTACAACACTGTTGGAACTGTTTTTGTTTAAGGAGCACACCATTCTTATTGAAGTCCAACTGGTGTGAACTGACTCGAGCTAATTTTATCTTAGTATGATATGAAACATGTAATTAAAAAATTCAAAGTTGAGAATAGTAGTTGAAATCAGCACGTTCGTCATAGAGTCTAGTTTGAAGTCGTCCTTATGTGTCTGGGAAAAGGTGAAATATGAAGCAGACTTTTACTTTTATTAGTATCTCAAGTTTAATAGGATATATGAGATGTAAGCACTAATTGAAATGTGGGTTATTAAGTGATTAATCATACTTGGGGAAAAACACACGAAAAAAACACTTTAATCCAAACAAAAATTTTATCTGAAACTGACATCATCGAGCGTTATTTGTTTTTCTTGACAGCATGTTTGTAATGTTCACAGGTCATTTTTCAACAAATAATCAGCAATCAGCATTTATGACCTATCCCATCCATCTTGATATAAAGGACACCACAGACTTTGAAGCACTTTGTTTGATGGTGGATTTTCTTTGTTTTTTGTTTTTTATTGTCAGTATCTCCTCGTTTTGAGTGTTCCTTTATTATTTCCCTCCTTTTTTAAAGTGCCTACCCCAAGTCAGGAATTTCAGATATTGTAGTATGTTTTGTCATTCACAGATTTTATAACCAATCTTTGATAGTTTCTGTTTACAGTAAACCAACTAATTTTCGCGAGCGATTTATTTTCGCGACTTTCGCGAGCAGAAAAATAACGCGAATTTAAATCGTCGCGAATATGTATATCTTGGATCTTACCTTATTTAACTACATCAAGTAAATTAGAAAATCGCAAATTAAAATCGCCGCGAAGTGGACTAGAAAGGGCGAAATGCGAAATAAAGTATCCGCGAAAATAAGTTGGTTTACAGTATTCACAACGTGTTTTGACTCGACTTGATATGCAGATTTACTAATTGTGTTTTGACTCGACTTGATATACAGATTGACTAATTGTGTTTTGACGCGACTTGATATACAGATTGACTAATTGTGTTTTGACTGGACTTGATATACAGATTGACTAATTGTGTTTTGACTGACCTTGATATACAGATTGATAAATTGTGTTTTGACTCGACTTGATATACAGATTGACTAATTGTGTTTTGACTGGACTTGATATACAGATTGACTAATTGTGTTTTGACTGGACTTGATATACAGATTGACTAATTTTGTTTTGACTTGACTTGATATACAGATTGACTAATTGTGTTTTGACTTGACTTGATATACAGATTGACTAATTGTGTTTTGACTCGACTTGATATACAGATTTACTAATTGCATACGTATTTGTCTATTGTCGAAGACCGTATGCTGATTTAGCAATATTTGTATTTGTCTTCTTATTGTATTAAATGGCTCTTTAAAAAGGCAATTCTACAACTTCCTTTTGTATGTTTCAGGTTGGAATTTTGTAATGCACAAATTCGTCACAAAAATTTGGCAAAATTTATATAGAAATCAAAGATTTAGATTAAGAAATACACTACTTTGCTGTTGTGGCGAGACCATTTTAACACTTTTTATCTATGTGTTGTACTGTTGTGTCGAGACCATTTGACACTTTTTATCTAGGTGTTGTACTGTTGTGTTGAGACCAGTTTGACACTTTTTATCTATGTGTTGTACTATCTGTTATTTTATTGTTCAGGTTAGTTGTCATCACATTGCGTAAGTTAGGTTTCATTATATTATATCGAATTAATACCTGGATAGGCAAGTTTGAGATAATTTTGCACGTTAAACTAATTTAACCCTACCAAATGGGTCAGTACGCGCAATCTATTTCAGGTAGGCGGTAATAGTAGTAATTTTTTCATCTCTCTGCCCATATCGTAGACTTGATAAGTATGATGGCTCGTTTGGAAGCTAAACCTTCAGGAGCAACTGAGATCACCACCGATTTTTAGTGTTCTATGTTTTGTTTTGTGTACAGCTGTTTGTCTTTGGTTTTTTTTCTTTTTTTGCCATGGCGTTGTCAGATTACTTTTTTGCCATGGCATTGTCAGATAACTTTTTTAGCCATGGCGTTGTCAGATTACTTTTTTAGCCATGGCGTTGTCAGATAACTTTTTTGCCATGGCGTTGTCAGATAACTTTTTTGCCATGGCGTTGTCAGATAACTTTTTTGCCATGGCGTTGTCAGATAACTTTTTTTCCATGGCGTTGTCAGATAACTTTTTTGCCATGGCGTTGTCAGATTACTTTTTTGCCATGGCGTTGTCAGATAACTTTTTTGCCATGGCGTTGTCAGATAACTTTTTTGCCATGGCGTTGTCAGATTACTTTTTTTGCCATGGCGTTGTCAGATAACTTTCGACTTATGAGTTAGGATGTCCTTTTGGTTTCGCCTCTCTTTTAAGAGATTTTCACATAATAATGTGGTAAAATATTTGGTATATGATGTTAGATTCATATTTTTCGTAATTACTCGAACCCCGAAAAGCCTTTTATCCTGCAATAAATGTACACAATCCCTTTTTTCACTCAAAAAGTTTTTCGAAAATTTAGTTCTTTGCATACATGAAATAACTCAATAATCTTTACATATTCTATGGTCATCTTCTCTTCATATAACCACAACAGGTTAAGCTCAGTTACTTGTTAAAAACTAAAACAAGTCGAATATCACTGGACTTCGTTTATATATTAGATTTCAGTACCTCAATTTGAGGTGCATTAGGGTTATTGACCCAAATGGTATGCCAGTACCATGTCAGACAGTCAGGACCTTGTGTTGTTTATTGTCTGTGTATGCACGTATAGTTTACGTAATAGTTGGGTGTTGCTGGTTGTTGTGGTCTGTTGTACTCGCCAATATTGTTTGGTAATTTGATTTATGATAATTAACCTAAACAAATCTTTTTCGTGCTTAAACTTCAATCGTCTAATAACGATTGTCCATTGAGGACCTCAAAAACATATAATTTGAATTCAAAATCACGAATTTTGAAAATCGTGATTACGGATCAAAATCGTTATCACTTGTTTTATAATTAGTTATCACGGATTTAATATGTGATTGATTATCTAAAGAATTATTTCTCACAGATTGTTGTAATTCGTGATTATGGAAAAAAAATAGGTTATTAAAATTTGCCTTAATTTGTGATGACGGATTAAATTCAAAATATATTTTTTGGCAGGACCTAAATGGACTCTTCAATAATATCATCTATCTTATTAACATTAAAAATTAAAATGTCAAAGGCATAAAAATAAAGCTTTGATAATACAACCAGATCGTATAATTAAATCCTACTTCGTGTGTGATCATACTCTTTTAGTTACGTTATAACGGTTTGTGAGATGGAATGTTGACTTTAGACATTTTTGTTTTATTAGTTATTGATATCATTAGTCAGTTTTAGATTCATTGTCGGCCATAAATAAAACCGTTACAACACATTTACCGTTCCTGATGCATTATTGTACATTTTCTCAAGTGTTAAAGCAAAACATTTTAAAGTCTAACGGTACACATATTCCTCGTTCAGATTAATCAAGAAGATTATTTCAACATTACGGGAAAGACTGGTGATACTTTTGCTGCTCCATTTTGTATCGCAAGAATTGCTTATGTTTATAGGTATTTGAAATTGTGAAAGGTGTTTAACATTTACGACCATACGTTTCTTTTTATTTTCTAACGCGTTGGTATATTCCTAAATTTCCTAAGTTCACACATTTTGTTCGCATATTCATTGCACGAAAAATCTCACATGTATTGTTTTAGTTCATTTATTGAAAAACTGTAAAAGTTTCAAATCATGGTCAGGTACAAATGATACTTCTACGTTTCCATGGTTTCCTCCAAATAAACAGTACCATGGAGACAGTGGTGGTTGTACTACAGGTTTCCTAGTAACAGTAATTCTCGGTGTATTACTCCAGTTCTGGATTTCATTTTCTGAGGTCTTAGTTATAGGTAATGGATTTCTGGATTGTTGTTTTTGCAGATTTAACGAATCATCTAATCCAATGTCCTTACTTTCTACGACATTTTCAATGTCGTCACTTTCATCACTGACGTCATTGTCACCACTGACGTCACTATCACCACTGACGTCACTATCACCACTGACGTCACTATCACCACTGACGTCACTGTCTTCACTGACGTCACTGTCAGCTCGCTCATATTTTTGTAGAATATTTGATTGTTTTATTTCATGTCTACTAATATTTACTTTGTTTAAAATTCTATTCTTCGATGATTGTTCAGTTTTTTTGTCTGTCCTTCCAGAATTGGAAATAGATAATTTTGAAATATTTGATTTCTTTAGCTTTTGATAAATATTTCTTTTATTTACTGGTTGTTTAAATAATGACGAAATCTCGTTCGTTTGGGGTGTAAGCGAGAGTTCATTGTTATACAAACCAAAGGGAGAAAAGAAGTGATTTAGTACAGTTATACCAGCTTTTTTCAATATGTCATGGCCTCGATTGTCCGTATCGTCGTCACTTTTGTCACCAGAATGATGAAATTTCTTGTAATTTTCTTTGCTACGGGTGTTATATCCAATTTGTATGTCCGCGCAATTCAAGAATTCCTCCTGGTTACCACATCCGATACAACCATGACCATTTCTATTGGTTCCCCAGCTGTTACCTATAAAACCAATAATGCATGTAGTCAAAGGATGACAATCTTTGTATAGGGATAATTCCGTACTAACGATATAGAAATCGATTTATACAAACAAAGAATAATTTGACATTGAACAGGTAGAAAACACTTGTTTTACTATTGATGGTTGCTTTTATTTATACTCTAAACTATTTTTATGTATTTTGATGAAAGTCAAGATATGAGACAGACTTAACTGTTACCGGTGTATCCTTTATCTCAAGTTCAATGGGATAGATGCGTACAACATAGTCACCAAATTTTAAATTATTTAGTGAGAGAACATCATCTATATAGCGGAAAGTGTAGTTAAAGGATACTGCCAACTTCTTATCTTTTTTCCTTAGCAGTTCCTGAATGAAGTCAGCCTCATATAAACAAGTCGACAAGAAGAGAAGCACAATTGGTTACCATTGGAATGCCAATTGTTTGTTAAAAAACAAGTCATTCAAAAAGTAACAGATATGTTGTCAACCAAGAAATCAAGCATCTTGATAATGTCAGTTTCAGAGAAATTTTTGTTTGGATAAGAGTGATTTTTTATAAAGTACGATGTATCCCTCCCTAAGACAAGATATTTGTATCTACATTAGCCATTCTTTTTTATGAAACAAAACAGGGCCAACTCTTTCAATTTGTATTTCAGTTTGGAATGAGGAATACTTGTGGACAGTGTAGAAAAGTCAAATGTTTTAAAAGTACTTCCAAAAGTAACAACTATGTTGTAAATCATAAATTCAAGCATCTTCATGATGTCAGTTTCAGAGAATTTAATTTTTACGACTTATGAGTTTGTATATCCCTTTGGTATCTTTCGGCTGTCGATAACAAAAGTAAGTATGTACCAAAACTTTGTTCACCTAATCTACCTTGCAGAAACGTTTTTAACCCTAACAGTACTATTAAACAAATATTTAATTCAAAAGGTTCACATGTCCAATTTAGATTTTTAAGAGCCATCAATTTGTTTAGCGACTTAAATTAGAGGTTAACTTTTATTGTGATTAAAGTGAACATGTGCGGAAAAGATTTATGTAGCCCTTGAATTAGAGGTAAATTATGACGATAACAAACGTTAACATTTACAAAAAGATTTATGTAGCGCCTTCAATTAGAGATAAACTGTGACGATAACAAAAGTAAACATTTACCGAAAAGATTTATGTAGCTCCTTTAATTACATGTAGATATAAACTGTGACGATAACAAAAGTAAACATTTACCGAAAAGATTTATGTAGCTCCTTTAATTACATGTAGATATAAACTGTGACGATAACAAAAGTAAACATTTACCGAAAAGATTTATATAGCGCCTTCAATTAGAGATAAACTGTGACGATAACAAAAGTAAACATTTACCGAAAAGATTTATGTAGCGCCTTCAATAAGAGATAAACTGTGACGATAACAAAAGTAAACATTTACTGAAAAGATTTATGTAGCTCTTTTAATTAGATATAAACTGTGACGATAACAAAAGTAAACATTTACCGAAAAGATTTATGTAGCTCCTTTAATTAGATATAAACTGTGACGATAACAAAAGTAAACATTTACCGAAAAGATTAATGTAGCGCCTTCAATTAGAGATAAACTGTGACGATAACAAAAGTAAACATTTACCGAAAAGATTTATGTAGCGCCTTCAATTAGAGATAAACTGTGACGATAACAAAAGTAAACAATTACTGAAAAGATTTATGTAGCTCCTTTAATTAGATATAAACTGTGACGATAACAAAAGTAAACATTTACCGAAAAGATTTATGTAGCTCCTTTAATTAGATAAAAACTATGACGATAACAAAAGTAAACATTTACTGAAAAGATTTATGTAGCGCCTTCAATAAGAGATAAACTGTGACGATAACAAAAGTAAACATTTACCGAAAAGATTTATGTAGCTCCTTTAATTATAGATAAACTGTGACGATAACAAAAGTAAACATTTACCGAAAAGATTTATGTAGCTCTTTTAATTAGAGATAAACTGTGACGATAACAAAAGTAAACATTTACCGAAAAGATTTATGTAGCTCCTTTAATTAGATATAAACTATGACGATAACAAAAGTAAACATTTACCGAAAAGATTTATGTAGCGCCTTCAATTAGATATAAAGTATTACCACAACAAAAATAAACATTTACCGAAAAGATTTATGTAGCTCCTTTATTAGAGATAAACTGTGACGATAACAAAAGTAAAAATTTACCGAAAAGATTTATGTAGCTCCTTTAATTAGATATAAACTGTGACGATAACAAAAGTAAACATTTACCGAAAAGATTTATGTAGCGCCTTCAATTAGAGATAAACTGTGACGATAACAAAAGTAAACATTTACCGAAAAGATTTATGTAGCTCCTTTAATTATATGTAGATATAAACTGTGACGATAACAAAAGTAAACATTTACCGAAAAGATTTATATAGCGCCTTCAATTAGAGATAAACTGTGACGATAACAAAAGTAAACATTTACCGAAAAGATTTATGTAGCGCCTTCAATAAGAGATAAACTGTGACGATAACAAAAGTAAACATTTACTGAAAAGATTTATGTAGCTCTTTTAATTAGATATAAACTGTGACGATAACAAAAGTAAACATTTACCGAAAAGATTTATGTAGCTCCTTTAATTAGATATAAACTGTGACGATAACAAAAGTAAACATTTACCGAAAAGATTAATGTAGCGCCTTCAATTAGAGATAAACTGTGACGATAACAAAAGTAAACATTTACCGAAAAGATTTATGTAGCGCCTTCAATTAGAGATAAACTGTGACGATAACAAAAGTAAACATTTACTGAAAAGATTTATGTAGCTCCTTTAATTAGATATAAACTGTGACGATAACAAAAGTAAACATTTACCGAAAAGATTTATGTAGCTCCTTTAATTATAGATAAACTGTGACGATAACAAAAGTAAACATTTACCGAAAAGATTTATGTAGCTCTTTTAATTAGAGATAAACTGTGACGATAACAAAAGTAAACATTTACCGAAAAGATTTATGTAGCTCCTTTAATTAGATATAAACTATGACGATAACAAAAGTAAACATTTACCGAAAAGATTTATGTAGCGCCTTCAATTAGATATAAAGTATTACCACAACAAAAATAAACATTTACCGGAAAGATTTATGTAGCTCCTTTATTAGAGATAAACTGTGACGATAACAAAAGTAAAAATTTACCGAAAAGATTTATGTAGCTCCTTTAATTAGATATAAACTGTGACGATAACAAAAGTAAACATTTACCGAAAAGATTTATGTAGCGCCTTAAATTAGAGATAAACTGTGACGATAACAAAAGTAAACATTTACTGAAAAGATTTATGTAGCTCCTTTAATTAGATATAAACTGTGACGATAACAAAAGTAAACATTTACCGAAAAGATGTATGTAGCTCCTTTAATTAGATATAAACTGTGACGATAACAAAAGTAAACATTTACCGAAAAGATTTATATAGCTCCTGTAATTAGAGATAAACTGTGACGAACATTTACTGAAAAGATTCATGTAGCTCCTTCAATTAGAGATAAACTGTGAAGATAACAAAAGTTAACATTTACCGAAAAGATTTATGTAGCTCCTTTAATTAGATATAAACTCTGACGATAACAAAAGTAAACATTTACCGAAAAGATTTATGTAGCTCCTTTAATTAGAGATAAACTGTGACGATAACAAAAGTAAACATTTACCGAAAAGATTTATGTAGCGCCTTTAATTAGAGATAAACTGTGACGATAACAAAAGTAAAAATTTACCGAAAAGATTTATGTAGTGCCTTCAATTAGAGATAAACTGTGACGATAACAAAAGTAAACATTTACCGAAAAGATTTTATGTAGCGCCTTCAATTAGAGATAAACTGTGACGATAACAAAAGTAAACATTTACCGAAAAGATTTATGTAGCGCCTTCAATTACAGATAAAATGTGACGATAACAAAAGTAAATATTTACCGAAAAGATTTATGTAGCGCCTTCAATTAGAGATAAACTGTGACGATAACAAAAGTAAACATTTACCGAAAAGATTTATGTAGCGCCTTCAATTAGAGATAAAATGTGACGATAACAAAAGTAAACATTTACCGAAAAGATTTATGTAGCGCCTTCAATTAGAGATAAAATGTGACGATAACAAAAGTAAACATTTACCGAAAAGATTTATGTAGCGCCTTCAATTAGAGATAAACTGTGACGATAACAAAAGTAAACATTTACCGAAAAGATTTATGTAGTTCCTTTAATTAGATATAAACTATGACGATAACAAAAGTAAACATTTACCGAAAAGATTTATGTAGCGCCTTCAATTAGATATAAAGTATTACGACAACAAAAATAAACATGCACCTAAAATTTCAATTTCCGGAATTCAAACATTATGATTATTGAAAATGCATTTGTTGAATATGATTCAGCATTAAAACAATATATCAGTCAACTTGATTACATTAATTATGTACATTAATCATGTTAAATAGTCTGGTCAGAACGTCAAATGATATAACAGATTGATGATTTGTCTTATTAGATAACCAAATTTATAGATTACTGCAACAAAAAACCGCAAGCACTTATTGATCTATCAATACGATCAAATAAGAGCATTTGATTAAGTTTTTCTTGGTTTTCTATTTTCATTACGATAATGGTGCGATTTTTTTTATTTGTTCTATGATTTAAGGATGATCGCTACTCTGTTTCACAATAACAAGCTTTTCAAAAGACTGTTATAAATTGATAGTATATAAATAACGGAACTAAAAAAGCAGAAAAAAATGAAGTATCCGTGTGCTTGTTTTTGAGATATAAGCCGTTCAAAATTTGGCGGGAAATGATTCTCTCTAGATTTTTCATACTATTAACATTGGCACTGTTTTTCTATCAAAAACTATGAAAAAATAACAAGGATTTTATAAGATTTTCAAATATGGCTTTTTAAACTATATGTAATAAAATTATGAAAAGAAAAGTAGGGGTTTGCGGGCAAAATGTTTTAATGGCACTACATGGATAAAATAAGAGGATTTCGAATATCTGGCAAAAATTCAAAAACAAGAGGGGCGAACATCCTTAACACTGTAAATTTCTTTCGTCCAAAGCACATAAAGGATTGACCTTCATCAGAAACACTCAAACCTGAACATTTGAATGCGCAGGGATGAATGCGCAGGTATGCGTTTATACGATGAAACGTAAGGAGCTATTAAGGATTTTCGCTCCTCTTGTTTTTGAATTTTTGCCAGATTTTCGGAATCCTCTGATGTTATCCATGCATTGCCATTAAAAAATTTTGCCTGCTAATCTCTACTTTATTTTTATAATTTTATTACATATAGTTCAAAAAGCCATATTTGAAAATCTTACAAAATCTTTGTTATTTTTTCAATGTTTTTTGAGAAGAAAAAAGGTGCCTTTGTTAAATGTATGAAAAATCTAGAGAGAATCATTTCCCGCCAAATTTTCAATGGCTTATATCTCGAAAACAAGCACACGGACCCTTCATTAATATACTACCAATATTTATAACAGTCTGTTAAAAAAGCCTGTTATTTTGAAACAGAGTAGCGAAATCCTTAAATGCATTTGATACACTTTTCTAGGTTGATCCTCACAATGAACGCTTAATTCTAAACATGCATGAATACGCTAAAGCCTTCAGAGCTATATGATAACAAAATGGAAAAACAGCTTAGCCAAATATACCCAGTCCTCCAGCAGCTGTATCGAGCAAGTAAATGAAATAAACACGTAATAAATTTAGTGCGTCCAAAACATTTTAAAAGCTATCGAAACAATATTTATGATTTCATGTTTACAACTTTCATCATTTCATTTTACCATGAATGTAGTTATTTTTCCGAAACAATGATACTGTAATCAAACAAACTACCGATGTTTGATACACTAAATTTTAATACTTGTTTTGTAATGTCAAAAGAAAAGGTAAAAATATTCCTACCCGAAATTATCTCTATTTACGGTAGGTCTTTCAATTAAATTTTAAGCGACTATTTACGAAACAATGATTAGTATTGTATTGTGACCTTGAGATTTTTTGAACTACTGATACATTTGAAACGTACAGATTAACATTAATGCTATTATTACCTTATGATAAAGTAAATCAGTATGCTAATTTTATTTGTTTGTAATATCATCTGGTGTTGAATCTTTGTTCAGGAAATGAAAGAAAAAGGGATAAAAGACTACAACTGTTTTGTTTTTCCAAATGTTTTTTTGACACGCTATCAGAATAGTTGTGTGATCTGTAATTTTACCGATTGTGTCGTATTCAAGATTTTGACATTTTTTACTGAGTGAAGAGTAACCTGGAGGACATCACCCAATTGACACAAAAATGAACATGACATTACTAACCTGTTCTATATCTCCACTGCAGAACACACTGAGTACATTTCATATCACGTGGTAGTAGTAACGTCATGTGATGAATTCCAGTGTCATGTGGGTAATACCGCGTTCTGTATCGCTTGCTCCCTTCCACAATCCTCAGAGGATGCTGGTCAAGACATTGCTGTGATACAGGAATATGTGGATTGTTATGGGGACATATTTTAAATTCGTAATAGCCTTTGTGATAAGCTGTGAGAACGATCTTAACCGGAAGCTTTCGTTTATAAGATGGGTACTTCCGGGTTATAACCCCTTGTGCATATTTTCCCCCTGCTTCATGTTCCCGTGGTCCTTGATACGGATCTCCACATGTGCCACATCGTCCTCCATGTAAACGTAAATTCTGCAATTAAATACAGTTTGACGTTATAAAGTATCAAGATATGATAATGTTTCTTTTTCGTCTTATACAGATGCTCACTGCTCTGTTTCAAAATCATTAGCCTCTTAAAAAACTGGTATAAATTGATAGTATATTGGTTTTTCTTGAATTTAACATGGGCACCTTTATTCAAAAACTGACAAACTATCAAGGATTTTATAAATTTTAAAAAATGGCTTTTTAATCTATATGTAACAGATTCATGAAAAGAAAAGTAGGGGTTAGCGGGCAAAATTTTTATGGGCCCTACATGAATAAAACTAGAGGATTCTGAATATCTGACAAAATGTCAAAACAAGAGTAGCGAACACCCTGAACGAGACAAACCTAGGTAAAATGGCGTTACTCTTGATATTCAAAGCTTCCAAGTAACGTAATTACTTTATTGTTTTGTTCCATATAAAAACTAAAGGATTTTAAGAGCCTGTGTCGCTTAGGTCTATGTGCATCTTTAACAATGGACATTTCCAACATTGTAGAATAAAATATTATTCATGACAAAAATCTCTTTTATGTTAATCTTCTATTGCAGTTTCTCTTTCTTTTTTAGTTTTTCCTCCAAAAACAAAAAAAGGGCACAAAGAATAATCATTCAAGAGCAACAACTCCAATAAGGAAACGGCTGACGACTGCCAGCATGTCGAATTATTTGAGATATTGTATTGCTGATCTTTAATGTTCTTAAAGTTTTTATTTACTTCTTATAATTTTCAAGATTAAAGGTAAAAACACAAAAAATAGTAAAATTAGTCATTAAAGACAATTCAGTGATGAGTCTCATTTGGTGATGACACAATCGAAGAAATAGGACGGGATTGTAGCTACGACAATTCAAACATATATGTCATCATCTGTGAAACTTATATAACTTGAAATCAACTCGTGATTTCGTCTTTAAATTTTCTATGGAATGACTGCCATTTACCATATTGAACCTTTGGTTCAATTACTTTCTTTTTAGAAACATTTCTATATCAAGGACAGAATGATAGGAAACGCAATCTCTGGAATATCGCATCAACTTGGAGATATATTCTCCACAGACTGATGAAATGTTGCAATATATACGAATGGAAAGTTCACAGTTGGGCAGCAGAAATTATCTCTTTTGTCGTAATGTTTTGTTCTCAACCGATTATCATTGTCAATTTCAAAAAAAGATGCAAACTAAACTGTATCTGTGGTATCTTTTATCTAAATTTCGTGGGATAGATTCGTTCTGTATAGCAGACAGTGAAGTTAAGGCAATGCTAGCTTCCTTCCTCCTTCCTTTAGAATTTCTTGTATGAAGTTTGCCTCATATGAAAAAAAGGACGGACAAGTCGTAAAAGAAGTTGGCATAAATTGTTCATAAGTATCAGACAAAATATACAAGGCAAATGCCGACAGAAAATGTTAAAACTGGATTGTCTCCCTATAACTATGGAAAAATATTAAACTAAGAAAAGAAAAGCATTTCTTTCTGCACTTTCTAACTTCTTATATCTGTCTGATACGATCAATATTTAAACAAAGTATAACGTATGTCGATTGATTCAAGCGCTAATGATGGGTCCTTTGTAGACGAACCGAGAGTCTAGCTTACACAATTATAAGCCTTGTATCTTTGGTGAGTTTTTTATGCGGTTTGTCCTGCGATCTATAACTAGACAGTGTCCTGAGATCTATAACTAGACAGTGTCCTGAGATCTATAACTAGACAGAATTCACTGTTATACTGTAAATTCAGACATTATTGCATGCATTTATTATTGCGATTTTTCAAGAATGGACAAAAATGCGAGATTAATCATTGCGATATCATGAAAATCTGCATACAGATATATGTAACAGATATCAGAATGCGAGTTCTTATTATGGCGATAGTCACCCAGTCGCATTATTCGCATTTATAAAAACCTCGCAATAATTTCTGAATTTACAGTACTGACATTACTTTGAATTTTTCGAAAAACTAAGGATTTTCTACCCAATGCATAGATTACCTTAGCTGTATTCGGAAAAACTTTTAGGAATATTTGGTCCCCATCGCTCTTCAATTTCATACTTTATATGGCCTTTTTAACTTTTTGGATTCAAGCGTCACCGATGAGTCTTGTGTAGACGAAACACGCGTCTGGCGTACAAAACTTCAATCCTGGTATCTATGATGGTTTTTTTTACAACAACTGGGTCGATGCTACTTCTGGTGGAGTTCTTCTCCCCGACGGTATCACCAGCCCTGTAGTCAGCACTGTTGTGTTGACATGAACTATCATTGATATGGTCATAACTATAAATTAACTGTTTACAAAACTTTGAATTTTTCGAAATATTTAGGATTTTTCTACCCCTGGAATAGAATACCTTAGCTGTATTTGGAAAATTTTCTAGGAATTTTGGGTTCTCAATGCTCTTCAACTTCTAAATTTATTTGGCCTTTTTGACTTTTTTGATTCGAGCGTCACTGATGCGTCTTGTGTAGATGAAACGCGCGTCTGACGTACAAAATTTCAATCCTGGTATCTATGATAAGTCTGATTATTGATACTCTTTAAAGAACTAAATTTTGTTAAGCAAGGATATGTAAAATAACAACACATCAGTATATTGGTTTAGAAGAATAAATTGATATGAATTGAATACTTTATATTCTGTACATTAAGACGCGAAATGTCTATAAAAAGAACAAAAAAAAAACCGCGAAACTGTCTATAAAAAGAACCAAAAAAAACTGCAAAACTGTCTATAAAAAGAACCCAAAAAAAACAACACTACATTAAATATGTCATCTGCACATTTAATCTTAATTAAACATTTGTATCCATTACATGTAATTCCCAGTCTAATGCATATATACATACATTAATATATTTACAAAATATATGATTTGTCATGGTATTAAAATTCAGGATTTGTAACAACTAAACGGACGAAGATTTAACGAGTTTAAGTATGTTTCAAGATATGACATGAACTCCAAAAGGAGCAAAAGCAGGTGCATCGACATAAATCGTATCTATCCCCCCTTTAACGTTGGTTTTAGCTTTCCCATTGAGGGCTTATTGCTTATTTGAAAGCTGCCAATCTATTAAAACAGTTTTATTTACTTTCGTCACTTTATAAAATGAAACAAGATATATTGGTAGACGTTTAAAACGTAAAGATCGAGGAAATACAGATGGCGTATAACCTATAGAAATAAAAAGAATGACTTCAATATATTTTTAGACTTTTAAATTAGAAGAACTATTTTTACAGCTAGACACTTTCAACGTCAATTATATTTTTTGTATTTTGTACTTCGTATACACATAGTAACTTTCGGATGACTTTGTATACACATAGTAACTTTCGGATGACTTTGTATACACACAGTAACTTTCGGATGGCTTTGTATACACATAGTAACTTTCGGATGACTTTGTATACACATAGTAACTTTCGGATGACTTTGTATACACATCGTAACTTTCGGATGACTTTGTATACACATAGTAACTTTCGGATGATTTGTATTCACATAATAAATTTCGGATGATTTTGTATACACATCGTAACTTTCGGGTGACTTTGTATACACATAGTAACTTTCGGATGACTTTATATACACATAATAATATACTTTCTATCTTGTCCTCACCAAATAACCATGATAAAAGTACAACATAGGTCATGTTGTCAATTTTACGGATCATCTGGTATATTTTATGGTCACCTTTATAATTTGTATGTCTCATTGCATAATACAATTATACAGTGAATTAACCTATTTCATTGCAACAAGTTTCCTATCGAAACAATGTTACAAATAGTGTGTTTTTATCCTGGTTTCTTTAATAAGTTTACACATAGTGTGTTATTAGCCTTGTTTCTTTAATGAGTTGACGCATAGTGTGCTATAACCTTGGTTTCTGAAATGCGTTTACACACATTATGTTATAAAAGAGTATTGACAACTTCAGCTTTATTTGAAATAAATGTTGGTTTAATTAATTTGCTTTCATCTTATAGCATGCTATCACTTCGTGGGTAAATGATTTGTCTTTTAATAAAAAAAACATTATAAAACTTTTTCAAGACTATCTACTGAGTTTTGTTAAAGCGCACTTTCCCCTTCTTTGTTTTTATGTCTTGTGAGTCTTCCCTTTACCATGTTTACAGTTCACGAAAAATACCTTTCACATCAATTTATATAAGTCAAATATACAGAGAATACACGATCAACATTAATATAATACATCGAAATAGTAAGATAAAACATTATCAAAAAGAACTGAAAATTGTAAAAAAAAACAAAAATATCAAACTCCAAAGTATATTAAAAAGGGGAAGTCCATAAAAACTGTCAAAACAAAATGCCTACCTATATCTACCAACGAAACGACTGGAAAACAAATGTCATATTCCTGACTTGCTATAAGCATTTTCCGAAGACACTTGTGTGTTAAAGCAGGTTTTACACCTCGCTTAACCTCCAAATTGTATGACTTTCGTCTATCGTTCCGTCAATTGGGAATGAAAACAAATATCCAGTGGAAGGTTTTGAAGATAATGTAAAGTTAAATTGTTCGTTTCCAAAAAAATAAAATAACGCCACCAAGACATATCTTTCTTCGGGTTCATGTTGCTCGATCTTTAGTTTCTGTGCAGTGTTTTGTGGACTGGGCTGATTTGCATAAAACCACTTAAGTTCAGATATCCAATCGTAGTACTAATTTATCGTAGGACAAGTAGAAAAATCCGTCCGTTCGGAACAAATCTTAACTTAAGTATTAAATTATAATCCTGGTACCTTTGATAACTATTTAAGTATTTTTATGCATATCAGCCCTGGTTTCTCTATTGGCCATTATGTTCTCCATTTTGTTCGACTTATATATTTGGATTGTTCCCTTTTCTTAATTCATTTGTGACACAATTATCTGATTACAATGAAATCACAAAGATACTCATTACAATAAAGTGTTTCTGGAATAATT